ATAAAACCCAACTTTCATTGCATCATAATGCCCACTAAGCTCATAAATGATGCAACTTGACCAACACTCCCAATTATTCAAGGTCCACATGGACTTCCCATCATCTATGAAAGCATTTTTTAGAGCTTTGACATGGTGTCAAAGATCTAATTCAGTTTGAAATTTTGCATTGCGTTTAGCTATAGCTTCCCTCTTCTAGGAACTTTTATTATCAACTCTATTTCTTTTTTACCTATACTTAAAAAACAATCCATGAATATTGATTTGTTGTTATATTTTTTCCTTGAATCATGTTTTTATATTATGCCTCAAGAACCCTTTCCCGTTGCATCAGGCAAGGAAAGATTCCAAGTATCCCCGAAACAATGGTAAGTAAAATATATTTATAATTTTTTCATTTTTATAAAATTGTTTTAAAAAATATTTTGTTTGATCTTGAAATGCAGTTTTTTGTTTTTTGAATTGGAGCACGACAAAAAGTTAATGCAGTTGGGGGTGCTGACATGTTGAAATATATTACTAGAAGAGATTTCATGTGGATGTTTATTAGATGTCCTGACCGGAACAAAGGCAAAATTACGAACGCTTGGGAGCCCTAAATATTTGTGACGCCATTAAAACATCCCATAATTGTTTGTTTTTGGCAATCTCCACCCGGCATAAGTTTAATATTTCCGGATTTTTTGTGGAAGGGAAACAAGCAGGGTATGGGGGGAATATTGAGAGATTCCTCAAATTCTTAATTGGAATCCGTTGCGCACTTTGCGCATTAGATCCTATAAAAAGGATACCGGCAGTTAGGAAAATAATTTTAGAAATTGACCATCAAAATATTGTCAAGGTGCTAACTTTTGCCGAGATGCTCCATTGGAATATATGGAACTTTATAGGTAAGCTTTTAGTACAAAGATTGAGTTTAAAATCAGATTCCAGTTTCAAAATACATTCATTTGTAAAGGATGGTGACATGACATCAAAATTGACCATAAAAAAGTTTACAAGTGCTGAGCATTCTTATGCATGTTCCGAGGAATCATATAAGCTTTTGGTATAAAGTTTTGAGTTTAAATTCCAATTTCCAATTTAAATGCTATAGCTTATATACATTATAACTTTGCAGGGAAAATTTTGATATGTAGTCAAAATTTGACGACTATAAAGTAGAATATCAATATACTCACGGGAATGGAACCGCTTTCATAGCTGCGACCTTGTAAGGAGCTTGATCGAGACAGGATTCCACGACACGAAAATTTATTCCCAGAAGAGAAGAATTTGAAGGAGGACAAAGATTGTCTTGGTGATTAGGAGTACATCAAATCAAAACGTGAGTTGCCATAGTCGGTAGGTGCTTGTGTAGAAGAATTTTTTTTTTTATTTTAATTTTTTTTTTTTAATTCTCTGATATATTGAACCAGATGTGTAATGGTGATTCCAATTCAGATTTCTTCCTTGGAAATTTTGGTTATTTCATTTTGTTTGTGTTTGTGAATCCTTCGACACTATCAAACATGGAATATAAATGAGTTCTTGGATGAGTTGACGTGGATATTTTGGCATGCATTATGAACACAATAAATGCATATATATGAATAGTGATATCCGAATAGTATTTATTTGGTTCCTATAGATAGATGGCAGGTCATTACCCGTATACACACTGGACGAAGCACTTGTTGCAATAAGGTTTGGCAAATTCCAAGGTTTTGTGCTTGTTTATGAATTTCAGAGGCCATGGAAGTGACAATTCTCTCTTTTATTGGAGGACCCCAGTGGGGACTCCTTTACAGCCTCATCACAATAGTGGTTTTTGCTGGTATGTTAATCGGAGCTTATTCATGGGGCATTATATCAGATAGATATGGAAGGAGGCAAGCTCTTCACCAATTTTTCTAGTTTTATATTTTTCTCGTGTCTTTATTTTACATTTTCTATACTGTTATATAGATATATTATTATATTGTAAGGTAGCCTGCAAAATTGTTAAATCGGTTAAGATTTATACATGTGCAAATAAGACCTTTTAAGTGCGTCAATTGAAAAAAAGTAATGTAGCGTGGGTATTACTAGGGAAAGAGGAAGAGGAAGACGATTAAGGTAGGTACGATATGATAACATGTGGATTGACGAGGCTATAGACTCAGTGTGGATAATTATAAGAAAAGAAGAAAAGTGATTCAGTGTTGTGTATTAAAAAAATTTATGTGTCCGGTACAACGAACACACTTAATACCTTCTTTTCCTTATACTCGGGTTGGAGATACAATCTCATATTTCAACATTTATTATTGTTATTATTTTCAAATGATTCAAGGTGAAGTGGAACCTCCTAAGAGAGCTATGCATTTTTTTTTTTTTTTTTGAATTTTCTCACTGTGGTCTTTTACAATAGGGTGAGATTTTACCTAGTTTGATGGGAAAATGGATTAGTCCACGTCAAACACATAATTTTAATATTTTAACTTGCATCAATCTTAGGAAACTCATTGCATCTCAAACGGCATCTTATCATGTCGTACAAATTTTAAAAATTGTTTAAAAATCCTTAAATATATTAATAATTAAATATTACAAAAAAAAAAAGGAAAAATTACATATAAATGGAGTCAAAGTTCCATATTTACTTAGAGGCTGAGTTAAAGTTCCATATTTACTTAGAGACTGAGTTAAAGTTCCATATTTCTCTAAAATGGATTGCTGAGGTGGCACATGGTTTTTTACTGTTTAGAAATTGTGGTGCCTAAAATACCCTTCCGCGAAGGTATTACTTTTTCTTCGAAGGTACTACTTTTTTGAACTGAAGTACTACTTTTTAGCGTCCAGGTACCATGTTTTTTAAACACCCGCGAAGGTACTACTTTTTCTCCGAAGGTACTACTTTTTTGAACTGAAGGTACTACTTTTTTGCACTGAAGGTACTACTTTTTTGTTAAGGAAGGACATTTTAGGCACCACAATTTTCTAAACAGTAAAAAACCATGTGCCACCTTAGCAATCCATTTTAGAGAAATATGGAACTTTGACTCAGTTTCTAAGTAAATATGAAACTTTGACTCTATTTATATATAATTTTTCTAAAAAAAAAAAAGGTGAGAGTTTACCTCGCTTGACGGGAAAATGGGTTAGTCCACAGACTCCACACCAAACACATGATTTTAATATTTTAACTTGCATCAATTTCAGGAAACTCAAATATAAAAGTATTTAACAACATACACTTGATATGAAATACAACCCTCCTATCACATGACAAAAATCACAAAACTATACGTCATATAATTTTATGGCAATAATTTAAAATTTGTAATAAAAGATATTTTAAATTCCAATATTCTTTATTATCATGTTTTTTAAACTAAAAATCAACTATTTTAATTTTTTTACATTTCCCATTAACACTTTATATAATTTGCTTTTGTCAAAATCAACTCTAATGCAAGTGGGTCACTGTGAAATGTCAAGTTATGTACAGCTATCAGATTTGAGATTGTGAGAGTTGGTAAGTTAATACTAGTAATTAATATACTCTCTTAAATTTGGTGCATATATATAAATTTTAGTAGTACCATTTATATGTATATACATGGCGTGTAACAATAAATTATTTTCAACTAAAGATATTGTAGCCTAATGTATAATTTTCAAATTTGATGGGGAAAATTCAAGTCAAGTGATACAAATGGGTGACATGCTTATTTTGTACCTCTAAAAATAGTAAGAACTAAAAGAACAGAAAATAATTTTTAAAAAATAATAAAATACACTTTTCTGAAAATAGACATTTTTATAATTGCATTTTCAAAAAATAGTTTAAAAAAAGTATAATTTTTAATTTTTTGAATACAAAAAATTATTTTAAGAGTTACAAACTATTCTTGTCAAGAAGGAAAAAAAAAAAATCTTACATTTTTCAAATACCATTAGCATATACTCTATCAGTCCCATATTAAATATCACCTTTAAGAATTATGCAAGTACGATTGTTAATGGAAGTAGTAAGTCACAATTTTCAAAGGCAACGTTTAATATGAAATGGGGCAGAGGAAGTAATTTGATTTTTGTCAAATTCAACTGTTAATGTAAGTGGGGCATGAAAAATGTCAAGTTAATGAGATACATATAGCTATCAGATTTGTGGCTCAGAGATTTTGTAAGGTAATAAGTACTAATAATTACGTAGATGTCAAATCCCATAATGATGTTTTCAGATTCGAATGTAACCTTCAAAAGTAGAACTTTCATAACTTTGCAAGTGAAAAGAAATGTCCCACTATGGGCCCCACTATTTTTCATAAGCAATGGAAGTCTTGCAAGTGAAAAGAAAGGTCCTAAATAGAGCTTTGCTCTTTTTATCTTTTCCCTTTCGTTTTTGTCACATCAGATAACGTTCTTGCTGTTCTGGAAATTTTAATTGCACATAGTTTGTTCGGATGCATGTAATTTAAGTTTTAAAATTTACGTAAATTAATAGATTTGAAAAAAAATTTAATTTAATTTTGTGTGTTATTTTTTTAAGAATAAATTTTAATTTCAAAATTTCAATTTCATACAACAGAATATAGCCATATATTATACTTGAATGTAATAAATTTACGTTTTAAATTTGAAATTGAAGGAAATATAATTTAAAATTTAAGGTACTGGTTTTATATCGTTAAACATAATAATAGAGTAATGATATATTTTTTGAATTTAAAAATTACCGAATGAGAATTATGTAAGTAAATAAATAAATTCTACCACGTTCATTTGAAATGCTTCAAATTCAAAAAAAATATCATTTTTCAGCTAGCACTCACCTTTAACAAGTCTCAAATTGGGACAAAGAATACCAAATTACCCATATTGTTTCTTATAATTAAACCATTCCTAAATATTCTCTACAGAACTTTTAAATTTTAACTGTATTTTTTTTTCACCACACTTCCGTTGCCGCGTAGCAGCATATATATATATATATATATATAGTCCACAGACAACACAAGAAGTCGTAATATCAGTACAATTAAGTGCAAAATTTAAAAAGATACGGTGATCTCATTCGCAATTGCTAATATGGCGACATATATAATATAAATATATACTCTATACGCTTACCCATTTACCCGTATATTCCGTTCATGTTTTTGATATTTCAAACCCTTCACCGACTCTGTTTCTTCACTTGGCTTGGCTCGGCTCTGCAACAACAACTGTTTTCATCTGGTAACAACTCGAATTCATGTTTGTGATTCCTGAAATATTTACAATTGAGGTGCTATATTTTGTATTTTAGTTCATTCATGGATATTCAATTCATTTCATTGTGAGAATAATACATTTGATTACTTGCTGTTCCTTTATAAATTTTCGCTTAGACTCCCAGCTGTTTCTCTGTTGGTTCTTCTCTGTTCTCAGATCTGAAAAAAAGGGGTTTATTTTATGCACATTAGAGTGGAACTTGAATACTTTAAGTTTTGGACAGACAGCAAGAAATTGAAGTGTAGCTCTCCAGAAATAACAAAAATTTCAGTGACATTTATCAGAATTTAAGTTTAATATTGCATCTCTTTATTATTATTATTTTTTGCCATAGAATTCATTTTAAATTTGGTGAAAATGACAGATTTCTTTTTTTCCCCTTGGCAAGAATCTCACAACCATTTGTTCAAATGGTTTAGGGTTTAGGATTAGGGAGGTAGGGAGTACCACCAGGCTACAGATTTATCTAACATGAACCTAAAATTGTCATAATGTGGACTGAAATCAGTAGTTCTCAAGTTTCCGATTAAAAACTCTTGAGGGGCCACAACCTGCTAGGAAGTTATTTACACGTGTACATTTAGCACTGAATCTTATTTTGGTGTTAGAGACTCTGATTCAGGTCCTCCGGACCTGCTGAAGCGGGACTAGAACTGGGTAGTGTCCGTATCTCTCTAGCAGAGAGCACTCCGGTTGGACATTTTTAACTTACTTAGTGAGGCAAGAACTGGTTGTACCTATTTTCTCAAGCAATCAAATTTATCATCAAATTACATGGCAAAACTGATTTTATGGCCACTTACAAAAATTGCATACAACTGTTTGATCTTTGAACCCATTCTCCGGTTGGACATTTTTAACTTACTTAGTGAGGCAAGAACTGGTTGTACCTATTTTCTCAAGCAATCAAATTTATCATCAAATTACATGGCAAAACTGATTTTATGGCCACTTACAAAAATTGCATACAACTGTTTGATCTTTGAACCCATTCTTGATTAAGTTCTTCTTTGATCACAGCCCAAGTTAGAAGATAAACTCGACTGTGGAACTTCCTGGATGAAAACCAACTCAATTAACAGAACATCCATTGCTAGAAACTAACTTGGATGCTTATCAACAGTGGTTTTAAGAAACAAAATAATAACGAGGCACAATGTTTGTTACAGTTACCGAGCTGTAGGTGCAAAATTTCGCTCAACCAATAATGATTGAGAAAAATAAAACAACTCACTCAAAAAACAATAAGAATAAATAAGAACAGTGTATAGAGAAGCGTAGAATTGCTTGATCCCTTTATTGGAGGTCTAAGCCTCTATTTATATACAAAAGATTATAAAATTATGGTAGGACTCGCGTTGCTTGCCCTTCAATTCTTTCTATATAAACATTCTTTACTAATAGAGTTCTTTCCATTGTCTAATTTTCTATACATAGAACTTGCCTTGTACAAAACTTCCTATCTCAGGATTTTCCTTCTACGGTAAATCCTTCAACTGGTAGGACTTGTGCATTCTTGAATAACTGGGCTGAACATACTAAGTATCCGGCTGGGCTTGAGTAACGGACCGGATGTTAAATATTAACAAGTTGGGCTGATGACCTCTTGATTCGGCCTTGATGGAGGTTAGAGGACAAATAACAATGGTCTTGGGCTAAAAATACCCTCAATTTGGGCTTGAGCATGATGAGCCTTATATGTCCTTGGAATGTAGATATGTGTAGTGATGACGTGTGCGCTTTTTATTGGAGGGAGTTTTTTCCCTCCACACTTTGCCCCAAATTTCATTTTTAATTGAGTGACGGCTCCCATTAAAGAGGGAATTGAAATCGGTTTTTTACTTTGCTTCAGAAACAGTTCGAGGTCTTTCATTATTACTCCATCATACAAGATTCTGCAAGAGTTACATTCGCCCTTGCTGCACTCCTGCGTTCTTCATTCCATCGCCTTGTCAGGTTAGTTTTTTTCGCATCTTTCTCTTCAATCTTTCATTATGAGTACTTTATCTACTCCCGAACGTATAGACATTGGAGATTCTGAATCCACACCTTCATCTTCCCCCGTTCGCATTAGGGCTCCCCCTCCTAGGGTTTCTACAGATCGTTTTTCGTTGAATCAATTAAGTACTTCCCTCCTTCCAGCCGAGACATCCACCTCAGGCTTTGATAATGTTCTTACTCATGAAGAGAGGAAAGCAATCATCTCTATTCGCCGCATCAAGTTCTCTATTGCTTCGGTAATGGAAGAATTTGATATTCCTGAGGGAGTAGAAATTGCAGAATATCCCGAGGGTGCCGATTTTACCTCCGGCGAGGGAATTGAAGAGAGTGAATTGCTTCTTTCGGTAGGGCATCTTAACGCCCTCCGATTCCCTCTTCATCCCTTTTATCATTTAGTTTTCAACAAGTTAGGTCTTGCCCCCCTTCAGGTAAATCCTAATTTCTTTCGCATCCTTTCGGCACTGTTGGTGCGCCGGAAATTAGAGGCTCTGGATTTGACCTTTGCCGACCTTCTGCTTACTTACAATATATCTAAGCATGGGACCGAGCCTGGTCGCTTCTTTTTTACCTCTCCCCTTCATCAGAGGATATGCACGAACCTTCCTTCATCCGAGAATAAGTGGAAAGAAAGGATGGTTATAGTTAAAGGAAAATGGTTCGTGCCCCAATCAATTACGCTCCCCATCCCGCGCAAGTTCGGGAAATTAGGTATAGAATACTTAACCTCCCTTCATACCAAGTGTTCTGGCTGTTTTCCTTGCCAAGTCTTAATGGTTCGCCGTACTTATGAGTTTCTTGGTGTTTTTTCAGCTACATTCCCATCCTCCGCAGCAAGGAGCAGACTTTCTTTTCTTGAGGAACGAGTTTGGAGTGACCCCTCGCCTATTGAGGACCTGCTAACTTCTTCAAACCTCAAGGATATTGCCTCCAGTGCTGTTGCTGCAGACCTCATGGATCTGTCTCTACCATCCTTTGACAGTTTCCCCATGACTGAGGAGGAGATACGGAGGGCTGAGGCTTTAAAAAAGAAAGCCGAAGATGCCCAATCCTTGGTCGTTATTAGATCTACTGAGGGTGAGGTGGAGGCTGAGGAACCACCAGTGAAGAAATCTCGCCTCAACCCCCCATCCTCCGGTAAGGGCAAGGTCCCTTCTAAAAGCAGAGGGAAAAAGGCTGGAGAGGCCGAACCTGAAGATGAAGTCAGGGCATTTGTTCTGGCTGAAACTGGGGCTCCTTGGACTCCTTCCTTCACCAGGGCTGACAAGTCAGTCCTGCATTCAGGGGATTCTGTGATCACAGACCCTTCAGCTGCACTAGCTGTGGCCCGAGGGATGTGGCTCCCAAAGGACGAGGAAGCCATCAGCCAAATGGGGTTGAAACAACTACTCCCCTCTGCCCCGGTCCGGGCTATAGAGGTTCGCATTGCTCCTTCAGAATTATGTTACTCTTGCTTGCTTATGTTTCCATTTATGCTCATATTTGTTCCTCTGTTATACAGAGTCTATACCACACCATGGCCCTCTGCGTCACTGCTGAAGCCCAATCCATCTCCATCAAGAAGCTGGAAAAGGATCTTGACAATGCAGAGAAGAGAGCCACCACTACCTCTACCAATCTGAAGATAGCTACTGAAGCCAAGGATGTGTATTAGAGGCAGTTGGTTGCCTCTGAGGCTAAGGTGGATTCTCTTCAGGCTGAAATTCAACGCCTGACCGAGGCTCTTACTACTTGCTTCAAGGCGGGGAAGCAAATGCAGGGGCGCTACTCTTGTCTGGCACACCTGGCTAGTGCTAAAGCGTTCCAGTCTGGCTATAATCAGGGCTCAGGCCCTAGGACGATGGATCCGGACGCTTTTGACAAGCAGGTGGGGGTGCACTTCCCATATGATGAAAGGCCAGAGGCTTTGGAAGCTGAAATCCGCTTTGCCGAGATGGTGAAGGCGCACCTGAAGGGTATTCCTAGCTCTTCTGCCCCTGCGGCTTCAATTCCTCCTACCCCAAGTCCTACTGTAGTGGATGCTTTTGAATCTACTCCCTTCGATCCGAAGAGGAAGTAGAACCATGTATTTTGTTTTTATTGACAGTATGTTTAGGATAATAAATATAATTTTTGTTTTAGGCTTTCAATACCTGATTTGTTTTTGCTGTATGCTTTTGATACTGTTCATATTTTTCTGACTGGTAATGTTTTTATGACAAACAAAACACATTGTCTTTATGCTTCGGATTTATGCTATCCGAGAAAAAGCAAGGATGGTGGGAAGAAGGAGATCCTTTTAACAGTTTAATTGATATCTCAGGATGATTCATATGGACAATGATCTAACTGTTAAATGAACTCTCCTTGCCTTTGACTTACCTGCAATAGACGTATACATGCTCTTTCCTTCTCGTGTGTTCCTGATGTGGGGTGGATCATGATGAACTTATGATATATCCACATCCACAGGGTATTAAACACTTGGAGTCCAGAGGAAAGAGTTCTGATCCGGGCACCAGAGGTCTGAAGCGAATTATTCCTCGGCACTGAGTGTGGAGGAATATTGCTGAATAGGACACTTAGGGTCCGAAGCTGTCTCGGACACATAGGATTCGAGGCGAATTGTTCCTCGGCACTGAGTCGTGGAGGAATAATGCTGAATAGGACACTTAGGGTCCGAAGCTGTCTCGGACACTTAGGATCCGAGGCGAATTAAACACTCCCTGGCGCGGAGCCGGAGGGGAGGTTTTGCCGAGCCGGACACTTAGGGTCCGAGGCGAGATTTTTGCCGAGCCGAACACTTAGGGTCCGAGGCGAGATTTTTGCGGAGCCAGACACCTAGGGTCTGAGGCGAATGAACTACTCACCGGCGCTGAGCCTGAGGGGAGGTTAAATGAATTACTCCCCGGCGCTGAGCTAGAGGGAAGGTTTTGCCGAGCCGGACACTCAAGGTCCGAGGCGAATGAACTACTCCCCGGCGCTGAGCCTGAGGGGAGGTTAAATGAATTACTCCCCGGCGCTGAGCCAGAGGGGAGGTTTTGCCGAGCCGGACACTCAAGGTCCGAGGCGAATGAACTACTCCCCGGCGCTGAGCCTAAGGGGAGGTTAAATGAATTACTCCCTGGCGCCGAGCCTGAGGGGAGGTTTTGCCGAATTGGACACTTAAGGTCCGAAGCGAATGAAATACTCCCCGGCGCTGAGCCTGAAGGGAAGTTTGTTTATATTTTTTCTCAAACTACTTATCATGAGGCCGAGAATTCAAAAATGATAAGAGGCCAAGAAAGCGAGTAACAGTGGCTGTGAAGTTTCCTATTTGTTGACTTTGGAGACTTTCCTCCTCCACTGATACTCCCTTCTTGGCAACCAAATGTTGTGGACCACGCATATATGAACCGCATTTCTTTTCTATTTCTATCCGATGTGGGATATAGACTAAATTTTGTCAAAAAGGTCGGTGTAAGGAATGCCTCTGGTATCGAGCTTGACAGCCTTAAATACCAGTGGGCCCTCCTTACACCGTAATTAACTATTTGAATATTCCCATATATAATAGAATGTAGCACATACTTTTTTGTCGATGTGGGATAGAAAGTTTTAACCATAGGCCATAACTCATGTTTTTTGTTTCTTAAAAATCATTGTGACGCATGCTTTTTAGCAGCTTGCTTCTAATTGCATAAAAATTGCATAGTGCGACTTGGCATGCATAAAAATTGCATAATCATAGAGTAGTATGGCCCCCATTTTTATAGAAAGAAATAAATAGAGTAGAGTTGTACTGAATATAAAAGCAAAATAAAGAAAAGTTTGGCTGACTGTGGACATACTCAGCCTTATTTGTGAAGAATTTGTAGTAAAATTGACAAACTTAACTAATGGAAATACCTTTTAAGGTGTATTGCGTTCCAAGGACGCGCAATGGGACGTCCGCCAGCTTCGGCCAAATGATATGCTCCTTTCCCCACTACTTCGGTAACCCTGTAGGGTCCAGTCCAATTAGGTTCCAGTTTCTTTACATGAGCTGTCTCTTGCTTCAAAACCCAATCGCCTACCACAAAGCTTCTGAATCTGACGCATTTGTTATAACTGTTACACACCTGCTGTTGGTATGCCACGAGCCGAATTGCTGCTGCATCTCTCCTTTCGTCCACAAGATCAAGGCTATGTTCGAGTTGTTGCTCATTGTTCCCTTCTAGTACCAAGGATGTCCGAAGGGTTGGAATTATGGACTCGGTAGGAATGACAGTTTCGGATCCGTATGCCATAGCAAATGGGCTTTCTCCCGTGGGTCGTCTTGGAGTGGTTCGATAGGCCCAGAGCACTTGAGGGAGATTCTCGTACCATTTTGTCTTCAATTTCTCCAATTTTTTCTTTAAGCACCCAAATATCGTGCGATTAGTTATTTCAGCTTGCCCATTGCCTTGTGGATGACTAACTGCAGCCAATTTTTGCAGGACTCCATGTTCGCTAAAGAACTTTCTTGTACTTCTGTTATCGAGGTTCTTACCATTGTCCATTACGATGACTTTTGGTACCCCAAACCGGCAAATAATGTTGCTCCAAATGAAATGCTTTACTTCTTCGTGGGTGACGCTAGAGAAGGCTTCAGCTTCCACCCACTTGGTGAAGTAATCCGTAGCCAGAAGCACATGCTCCTTTTTTTCCATGGTTTTGGGTAACGGTCCTACTACATCAATCCCCCATTGGGCGAACGGCCATGGATTAGCCATGGCGTGCAAACCTTCGGCAGGTTGATGCTTTATTGGACCATGGCGCTGACACTTGTCACATCTTCTTGAGTATTCTTTGGCATTCCGAGCCAAGTATGGCCAAAAATAACCTTGGGTTAGAATTTTGTGTGCAAGGGATCTTCCTCCCGAGTGATTTCCACAATCTCCTTCATGAATTTGTTTTAGAATTGTGAGAGCCTCAGTAGGGGTTAAACACTTGAGATAAGGACCAGAGAATGACCTTCG